TGGAGCCTGCTTCTGATTCTGTGTCTCCCTCTCTCTCTGACCCTCCCCCCATTCATGTTCTGTCTCTCTCTGTCTCAAAAATAAATAAACATTAAAAAAAATTTAAAAAAAAAGTTTTTTGTAAACTGGGAAAAATTATTATATACGTTTTGGTTCTAAGTAGCCCAAAATCGCTTTGCTGATAGCACAGTCAGGATGAGAACCCAGAACTGAATCCTAATGCAGTACTTTTTTTCCTCGCTACCAATGGTTATATTCCCCTCTCCAATGGAACTTCACTCTTCCTGTCCTCTCCCTTTATGTACTATGTGTATAGAAAGCCTAACACTTTGAAACATGATCTTGCTTTGAACTGTACCACTTCTACTCTAATTTATTCTCATTCGTATTATTGTTAAGATTTAAAAACAATATGTTTGCAAATAAACATTGCTTAAACCTACAGATATTTAATTCACTTAGTTTAATGATAGGGAGGTGCATGAGAGTAAACAAATATCTATTCAACAAAAATGGCTAAAGCAGGCTAAGAAATTGGTAAACAGGTGAGCATAATTTTCCCATCTCTAATTCCATCATTTTTTGAATTGATCTGGAAACCTACTTGACTTTTTAGATTTAAATCATAAGGAGCATAATGTGTCAAAGAAGTCCTAACTGAAATATTCAATATTCCCCTCAATTTTGAATCTCCACACAAAAAAGTATAGTCTATCTCAAATGACAAAGGATGGAAATGTAAGTACTTACAATGCAAGTGTCACACAAAGGATCAAAGGGCCCCATAAATCCCCTACAAGGCAAGCAAAAAACAGAAGATTGTTAGGAAACAACTATGTAGAATTTCCTATCTTTATTCCAATATCTGCCTCTCCCACTCTTGGAATTCAGACATCAAGGCTCTCCCTGCCCAACCCTTCCAACCTCTTACCCCTCTACCTGCCCTCCCTGCTCCCCGATTCTGAATGCCCTTCTTCATATATCCTTTAAATTCTGTTTACTCCATATCCCACAAATCACCCTTCTTCCACCTACTAAGCCACATTCCAGCATGCTATAAAGACCAATGGGCCGGGAGTCAAGAGACTTAGGTGCTCCACCCTCAGAAACACTAGAGTTAACTCATTCCACCAAACTGACACTATAGGAGACAGGGCAAATATAATCAGGATCACCTCAAGAATATGAAAATTGAAGCTGAGAAGTGACTTACCCAAGTTTATATAAATATTTATTAGGTATGGAGGTGGGACCACAACCTAGATCTTCTGATTCCTACTCCAAAGTTCTTTCCACTCTGCCACACTGCTTCCCTTTTATAATCATTAAATTGAACTAGTATGGAATCGCTGTTCTTATAAGTGAAAAAACAGCCCAATATTGGTAATTTTATAAAGTTAAACCTTAGCAAATAACATGAAAGCTTTTTGAAAGGTATAAATCGCTCTACCAACATCAGGGGTAAGCACAGTGGTTCTCAATTAATAGCTGTTAGGTAATTAATATGCCAACAGATGAGTAACATACAGCTTAGAGCAAAATTACCTTCCTCAACAAATATGAAAAAAGATACATATACCATTTCTAACTTTAACCTCATATGTACATAACTTTAAATAAGTATGCATATGTACATACTTACGTTGTTTTTTTTCATATTATATAAGTAATTTTGATATCACTGTGGCAAGTTAGGAAGATGTAAAAACAAATCATAATCCTACCACTCTGATTAAATATTGTTCTTGTTAAATTTTTGAACTTATCAATTGAAAAGTGAATTCAAGTACAACTGACATTAATATACTGGCTTTTAAAAAATACACTGAGGTTTTTTAATTAATAAAATTCTGTAACTGTATTTAAAAATCTTTATTTTAGTAGAATATATATATAGAATATATTATAAACACACATATATAGAATATATTATATATATATACATACATGTATATATATGTATATATATATAAACACAAAATTTACCATTTGAGTCACTTCTAAGTGTACAGGCTTTGAGTACAGTCATCATTGTACAACCTTCATATCACCCATCTCCAGAACTTTTTCATCTTCCCAAACTAAAACTCCAACCCATGAAATAATAACTCTCCACTTAGCCTCCAGCAATCATCATTTTACTTTATTTCTAGAAATTCAACTATTCTAGGTACCTAATATAAGTGAAAAAATATAATATACGTCCTCTTGTGACTGGCTTATTTTACTCAGCAAAATGTCTTCATGGTTCATCCACGTCATAGCCTGTGTCAGAATTTCACTCCTTTTTAAAACTAAGTAATATTCCATTAATACATAGTATATGACATGGTGTATACACCACAATTTGTTTATCTATCCATCCACTGATGCCATTGAAATTGTTTTCACCTTTTGGCTATTGTGAATAATGCTGCTATGAACATGGGTGTACAAATATCTGTTTGAGTTCCTGCTTTCAATTTTTGGGTATATACTCAGAAGTGGAATTGCTGGATCATATAGTCATTCTATGCTTAGTTTTCTAAGGAGTCACCATGTCGTTTTGCACAGCAGCTGCACCATTTTACATTTCCACTAGCAATGCACGAGGGTTACAATTTCTCCATATTCTCACCAGTAGTTGTTATTTTCTGTTTCTTTGATAATGACCATCCTAATGGGTGCAAAGTCCTATTGCATTGTGGTTTTTTTTTTTTAAAGATTTTTAAGTCGTGAATTTTTTCCTTGCCACTTTGCCCAGGACTGCTAACACAGCAGGGCAGAAGTGCAAATCTGGTCCATGACTTACTCACCCTTTGTGCCAGCCCATCTGTGTATCCCAAGGTCTGAGAATGGACCTTAACATATGACACGGCTAATCATCATCACTAATCTGCAAAGTTAACACACTGGTTCTGCATTGTCACTTAAGCAACCTTGCCCTGAACTGAGCCACAGCAGCAGTTGAAAGGATATCTTCACATCTGGGATAACAGTGGTAGAATGGAAAGGGCACTGAACTTGAAAACTGGGTTCTAATTTTGCCTGTGTCATCCTGACACTCACCTTCGTGGAGACTCGTTTTCTTCACCTGTAAAACAGGAGCCATAACTTTTCATAAGGTTGTTGTAAGGATTAAAAAAGAGGTATGTGTGTGTAGGCAGAGGCAAGGCACTAGAATAATAGCTATCATTTATGGAGTGCCTAATAAATGTCAGATGCTGTGCAAGGTGGCTGGTATGCATGATCTCTAATCCTCACCAGCAGGTATGTTATTATCTCCACTTTAACAGGGGAAGAAAGTTGAGCCTCAGAAAAGTTAACTGTCTTATCCAAGATAACACAGGTAGGGATGGAACTGCTATTCAAACCCAGATCTGTCCATGCTCTTTCCATCACATACCAGCGGTAGCAAATCATGTCAGCTCCAACCCACGGTGTACTATGTTGAAAAAGATTCTGACGCTGCATCCAGTCTCCACAGAGTGACGGCATATATGCCACATATTTGACATCCCTACATTATAGCTGAAATGCCGCCAAAATAGAAGGTACACTCATGTATAGCATCATTGTTACTATTCTCACACAACTGATTCAATTTTTCTAATAAAGGGTACTATGAAAATAACACTAAAAGGTCTAAAAATTTTAATAATAAATTCTAAATAAGAGCATAATGTACTGCAAGCACTGTTTTGATAGAACTCTTGAACAAAAAAAAATGCAGTCATCAGACTAATAGTTCTGAAAATAGAAATGTCAATAAAGGTATTAATAATTTTGTTAATCCTTAATGGGTATTAGCTGTTATTCTAATTTAATATTTAAACATTTTGCCTTTCCTTTGGAGACTGTCAGCTCTTTGATTGAACGAAAGTCCTTATGTGTTTACAATTTCCAGAGATATTTTTTGCAGTGTCCACTATAGCAGTTGAGGATATACAAACTATATTTGTTGATGAAGATAATATATTAAGCAAAATCTTCCAGTCTCTGAAATTCCATTCTAATTTTTTTATTTCTTCCCAAATTTTCATTTGTATATTCATTTATATATTTTTTCATCCAGTTTTCTTACCACAGAAATTTAGCCATATAGGGGCGCTTGGGTGGCTCAGTCGGTTGAGCATCCGACTTCAACTCAGGTCATGATCTCACACTCATGGGTTTGAGCCCCGTACTGGGCTCTGTGCTGACAGCTCAGAGCCTGGAACCTGCTTTGGATTCTGTAGCTCCCTCTCACTCTGCCCCTCCCCCACTTGCGCTCACGCTCTCTCTCTCTCTCTCTCAAAATAAATAAACATAATAATAAAATTTTTTTAATTACAAAAAAGAAATTTAGCCATATAAAGTACTTATGATAAGATAAAGCGAAAAACAGAAAATTCTCAAAAGCCTCATATACTTACAATCTCTCAAAAGAGTATTACTTTTTCTTGGATACAAAACATGCATGAATTTTTTCCCAACAGCTTTTAGATCACGCATCTGAAAGACATAAACAACTTGCTGCATTGTCATGACCAAAGTTGCCAAGTAGTTCCCTTACTTAATTTGCTAAGATTTATTTTAATTTCCTGGGAATCCTTCATGTGGAATTTTAGAACTACAATTCCAGTTTAACTCCTTCACAATACAAACAAACCAGAGAGGTAGGGCTTTTCTATTAACTTTTTATTAACTCCTTAGGCCAACGTTTAACTCTTTACCATACCCACCAGTTCTATTTTGATTTTTAAAGCTCTGTAAAAGAGAACTATAGCCGTTCTGATACCTTAAAGAAATTAAAGTAATAATAGCACTACTAAAGTCTGCTCTGCAAAACATGGCATCTGACACTCAGTTCACAAGTGATGAAGTCCCAAGGGCCAATCAGCCTGTTCCCCAGCTACCACATTATTCACAATATAAAACAAATTAGTTTCCAACATTCCCAATTTAACTGGTAAATGAAGCCTAGAAGCCAGATTTTTAAGAATCAAGACATTTGAGGAAGAATATAGTAATACAAACATAACCTCTCAAAATATAGTTGAGATAATTCTGTCCTAATTTTTTCACCTAGAAATTTCTTCATGTCGGGGCGCCTGGGTGGCTCAGTTGGTTAAGCGTCTGACTTCAGCTCAGGTCATGATCTCACAGTTCGTGAGTTCAAGCCCCGCATCAGGCTCTGTGCTGACAGCACAAAACCTGGAGCCCACTGCGAGTTCCATGTCTCTCCCTCTCTCTCTGTTTCTCCCCTGCCCCTGCTCTCTCACTCACTCTCTCTATTTCTCTCTCTCTTTCTCAAAAATAAATGAACATTAAAAAAAATTTCTTCGTGTTATTAACAGTGCTTTGTAAATACATTTTTAATGGCTGTTCGGTATTCCATCACATAGATGTCACATTATTTAATTGATATCCCCTCTGGTGTTCAATTTTTCCCTATTATAACGAATGCTGGGATGAACATTTTTGTACATTAATATTTTTCTGTATTTTAAAAACATATTTTTAAAAAATTTTCCGTATACTCTAGGTGGAGCAGAATTATCAGCTTAAAAATATTTTAACATCTGAAGATTCTTAATACTCATTATAGCCAAACTGCTTTCCAAAAAGGCTATACCAAATTATTCTCTAGAGTAAAATCTTAAAATTTCAATAAATTATATTGAAAGTCAGTGAACCAAACAAAAGAAATATTACAAAGTGCTATTAGTTATTTAGTCCCATGATACTGAACAGAAGTTCTTTCAACTAGTCTCACTTACAATAGTATTCTGAACAGATTCATTTAACGTGGAGCTGTCAAATTCCCGAATGTGAGATCTCATAGGAATGGTGATTTCTCCTTCCACAGGGATGTCTTGTGAGATGGATATATCAGAAAGGCCTGCAAACTGAGAAGAGTTGGGAAAAAAAAATTAAAGCCTGTAATCAACTACAGCATTCCTCAAAGACATCATTTCCTAGTGAGTAGGGAGTATGTCTTTTTTTTTTTAACTTTTTTATTCTTTCTTTAGTTTTTTTTTTTTTTTTT